CTTTGATCATCTTCTTATAGCTGTCGCCGTGATACTCAAATTCTGACCTAGCTAACCCGCATGTTGCTGGGACAAACTGACGTGCTCCATATTGTCTAAGTGCTAATAGCGGAGCATACCCGACTGCTCCCCAAAGTCCAAGTAAGGTCACAGTGTCGGAGTCACTACATCGAAAAAGAACATCGCTGAGGAATAACCAAGGGGCTCTCCAAACAATATCTCGGTCTTGAAGATGCGTAAAGACCTTCATCCATTTTTCTTTCGAGGCGCCTTCATGCCATTTTAAGGTAATAAATTCACCTAGAGGTGAATAGGTGGTGCTGAAACGGCGGTAGGCAACCCCGTCAGTCTTCCAGAAGTGGCTGTGAATCCAGACTTGAAGGAGCTGAATGCACCCGGTGAATCTTCCTCCGCCAGTTCTTCGGCAATGATTGAGAGATCGAAAGGTCTCAGCCAAGATGGCTGGTGCTGGATTGACTCTTCTCGAGAGTTGCTCGAATAGCTCCACTACGGTGGCATCGATGTATCCCAAGGTCTTTGGGAATAAAATCAGACCATACAGACCTAATGCAAACAGGTCTATTGTCTTCCACTCATCAGGATGGTGCTTCATTAGTTGTTTGATATGAAGCCAAGCGATTCCTTCTCCACTACCCTTACATCGAGCACGGTCAGTTACCCATTTTTCATCGACTCCGGCAACCTTAGCTAGTGTATTTTTGAAAGGTTGACTTTTAATGTGCTTAAGGTAGGCCCGCTCGAGTTTGATGTTTTCACAATGCAGCAGTGTAGTGTACTCTTCTATGGTGGGCACCATGTCTTCCCGGTTAAAGGTGAAGCAACTGTATCCCGGGTTCCAGAATTGAACCAAGGCTCTAATTAAGGGCTCATCAATCTTAACATGAAGCAAAAGTGCAACATCACCGTACCGTTGGCTGAACTTCTGTTTCACCTCATTCTTCCAACTGTCCCAGATGTCCCGGAGCTCTTGTACGTCATTCTGCTTTAGGCTGATCGAGGCGTAGCTAACCAGCTCTGACACATAGCTGTCTTGAAGACTGTCTCCCTTTTCCTTCTGAGTCTTCTCGGACCATAGTCGTACCTCAGGGTTTTTAATCTCTTGTATTACAACACCTTTATCCATTAATTCAGATTATTTTGTGCGTAATGAACGTCTTTTTAGGGATCAATGGCCTCTTGTTATGATGCAAATGCTAAAAACAAACACAAAGGCAAATGGTTAGTAAAATAAAAATAAATGGAAACAAATAAAAATAACAAGAAATAAATGGCAATAAAAACATAAGAAAAAAAAACAAATGGTTAGGAAACAATTGTCCTAGGTTTTGGAATGTGGTTTTGGGGTAGGCTCTATTTCTTCAAAGTCTCCTGGTTTATGTTCTAAAAACGGTACCCGAGTTCTCCTTGCTGGTGCCCCCTTGGGCTTACCAGACCCTTAGTCCTAAACCCATCACAGGCTTGTGTGGACTAAGTTAAACTCGAGGGGACACATTCCCTTATGTCTATGCGGAGAATAAATTCACACGAAGACATAAGGTATATGAATCCCGAAGGCTACTTGCTAGGCATATGCGGTGAATGAATTCACACGAATGCGTCGCTTTCACCCCCACTTAAAGGGTTCGGAGCTCGGGTATAGAGCCTTTGGATGAAAAAGTTTGGAAAACTGAAATCATCAGAAAATGGTCAGTTCAACTATTTACTCGAAAAAATATAACCAGAAGTAAGTAATAAGGATCGAAATGTTACCTTAAAGTTCAAACTTACCCTTTTCATTAAAAAGACAACTGGAAATTACCTTAGCCTGACTCACTTACCTTTCTCCCCAGCGGAGTCGCCAAGCTGTCGCAACCGTCTTTCGGTTGGGCCCCGGGATTGGGCTTCAACTTGAAATGAGTGGATTGGAGTCGCCACCGATTATTTATTTAAGAATAAATAGGTTAACCGGATACCTTATTTCTTACATGATCTGCATCTTACCAGAAATATGTCGGGCTCGGGAGTCGGTTACGGTCAAGGAAGGATTAGCACCCTTGAACCGCCCTTTCGGTACTACGTAATTTCCAGTTGTCTTTAAGTACGAAAGTCGAAAGTTTAAATGTAAAGGTAAAATTACAATCCAAACTGCTCACCTTTGATTTATGTGAAATCATCCTTAAAAAGGTCATGTAATGTGTTAGATAAAATGGAAATAAATAATGAAGAAAGTACAAAAATGAATGGAATAAAGGAAGTAATATATAATAAAGAAAAGAAATGTATAAAAAAAGGTTGGGAAAAAAGAATATAATAAATGTGTGTAGAATATATATATATATATATATAATATGTAATAAAGTAAAAATAATAAAAATATATACATATAAAATATTAGATAGGAAAAAAAATAATAATAAAATAAATATATACATATTAACTAAATAAATAAAAGTAAGGAAAAAAAGTATAATATAATAAAAGCATATACGTACATACTTATGAAATATAATAGTGATGTATATATATACATATATATTTAAACTAAAATATTGAAAGAAGTGACAATAATAACAAATAATAAAAAATTAAGAATGATAAATGATAAAAATATATGGTTGACTATATATAATAATAAGTGCACTATTTAAATAAAAATAAGAGGGGGGAAAACGTGAAGGGACCAAATTGAACGAAAAATTGAATTGGGGATTGATTTAGAAGAAATTAGGAGTGAAATAAAAACTTAGGAAGAAAGAGGGACTGAAACGGGTATTAACCCTCTTTTGAAAGGATACACGCGGATCCATTGCATGGAGCAGAACAGGCCATGTATTTAAGTTAAAATTATTTTAACAATTCCCATTCTCCCTTTTCAAAAGCCGAGACCCTCCCCCTTTCTAAATTCCCTGGGCCATTCTTCCAAGTGAAGAACACAGGCCCCGTTTTCCAGAAAACACCGCCTCGCGCCGCCTCGTCGTCGCCGTTGAACGGTGACGGCCGCCGTTCATCGGCGGCAAAATTTATATTTTTTTTGTTTTTCGAAAGCTTTTCAAATTTCTTTTTCACCATTCAAATCTGTTTTTCAAAAATCAACCCGGAGGAGCGTAGATCTAAAAATATTTCGAAAAAGGGGCCTCACTTCGTTCATCAACCAAAAACGTTTCTTTTGAGTTTTATTCGAACCACAACAATGAAGGAGATACGCATACAAAGTAAAAAAAACGACAAACAATGTAAGGAAACACTACCTCTTTATTTCCTTTCAAACTGATTACAATAGCTTCGAGTACTTCTATATTTCTCTGGTATTTCCGTAGGACTTTCGTGTGTTTTTTCCTTTTTTTTTTCTACAAATAGATTACATGTCTTATTTATAGCCTAGAATCTAAGTGTTTGACCCCTATTAGAACTCTAACTCCAATGTTTGTTGGCTTGTTATCTTCATGAGATCCTTGCGCCGGAGGAATCGGAGTTGTGGAGGATGTGAGACGGGTGGCCGTGAAACTCGGAAAGGGAGGCGAGGGAGCTTGTGGCACAGAACAGAACACTGCCAGGGTTAGGGTTCCTCACGGCTGTTGAGCTGGGCTTGGTTCACTTGTTGGGTTGCATGTTCAGGCCTGTAAATGTAAAAGAAAAAAAAAACGAAATTAATATATATATATATATATATATATAATATAAACATTATAAGGACGCAAATCATGTGTTTACAATAATGTTTTTAAAAAAAATATTTTGAGGACAAAACATTGATTGATGAAAAGAGAGATTTTTTTAAAAAAAAAGTACAATTGTGGGACCAAATTGAATAAAATATAAATTTGATGGGCTAAATTAGAAAAGAGGAAATGATCAAAAAATAACTTTTAAAAGTTGAATGATCGACATTAAAGAAACGTGAAACAAAAGTGATTCTATTGTAATTTTTTTAAAAAAAGTATTTTCATATTAATGGGTTTTTAGGTAAGAAAAGTGCTATCCCTGTCATTCTCCTCTTAGCTAATTGAAATGCCACAGGGCTTCACTTAAAAGAATTTTCAAATCCCAATCGTAGTCGTGGACATTTGCTCTATAAAATATGATCACTATCTATGTTCGAACATATTCAAATATTCTTGGGCGTTATCGGAACAACCTTTACAGTCTCCACTAACGGATGGATGTTAATAGTCATCGTAGACAGGCACCACCAAATTCTAGTAATGATTGCTGAGGAATTTGATGGACAGAGAATGCTGGAAAACGATTGTATTAAAGTCCAACACACAATTTTATATTAAAGAGATAAATTTATAATATTTTAGAAGATGATAAACTTATAAAATGTTAGGGAGATAAAAATATATTGTTAATATAAATATAAAAAATATATTTAAAATATATATGAATTTAAAATTTTCAAGGAGTGATTTTCGCAACTCATGACGATACCACATTTGTACATGCTCACATTGAAATTTAAATTTTCTTCTAATAGTTTTTTTTATTATGTCCACCCTAAAATTTTTATTTATGTTTATCACACGTATAAAAAAATTATGTATTGTTAATATATGTGTGTATACTCTCAAAAATATTTTTGGATCTGTCACCGCTCCTAGTTACCCCTCTCGATTCATCATTGATCGTACTTTTGAAAAATTTTAAATTTTCTTTCAATTTTAATATTTTTATATATTCTATTGATGATCTAATTTTACATTTATAAATTCATATTCTTAAATATTTAATATATTTTTCTAAAAATTCGTACTCATGATATAAAAATTTCCGTCAATCTCAATGGATTAATCTACTCCAATTTTACATATTTTCAACCTTAAACCTTCCTAACATTGACTCTTGATAGTTTGGCACCCGTAAATCATGGTGTAAAATGAAATTTTTGAATTATTATTATTGTGTTATTTAAATTCTCCACTTTTTAAAGTCTCAAACAGTTGCCTTCCAACTCCTATAAATTGTGCGAAAGGCAACACCCAAAATGCGTCAAACACCATTTTAACTTCATTGTTCTCGTCAGAGGTAAAACAAAAAAACATGCACAAGTTCTCCTTTGTTCCCTATTGTGTGGTGGCACTGGTGGTGGTGGTGCTGTTTTCGGGTGGGACTCGAACGGCGGAGGCAGTGACATGTGATGTCTCGGAGCTCAGCCCGTGCATGGCGGCGATCACGTCGCCAAAGCCTCCATCGACGACTTGTTGCAGCAAGCTGAAGGAGCAGAAGCCATGCTTTTGCCAGTACCTTAAGAACCCAACCATTAAACAGTTCGTTGACACTCCAAGGGCTAAAAAGATTGCCAGCACTTGTGGTGTTGAATATCCTCAGTGTTAGAAACTTATAGCTTTGCTTTAAGCATAATTAGTGTGTTATTATTAGTGGGTTTAAGCGGGAAGAAACCAATAATGGACTTTTTTAATTAGGGTTTACGTGTGCTCTGATGAACTATGATTCATCTATGTGTTTGAAGTTGGTCTTGAAATGTATTATTACACGCAAATAAATATGTATTAATCGAACTAAAATAATTATCATATAGTATTTCTAGATATCTCTCAATTCAATTTGCTCCATTCACACACACAGATTTAAACTCCTGATTCTACTCAAAGAATATAATATTTTATTCTACTAGACCAACTAGTTATTAGCCATTAAATAGTTTTTTTAAACAAAATTAACATCAAACGTAATGTTCTATTTTATCAACAAGGAGCAAAATTAAAGGGGTTTGCAAGAGCCATGCCTCTTTTAAAAGATAAAATTGTTACTTTAATTCCTCTAAGTTTTAAAAAAATATATGGATGAAATTATATTTTTGACCCATAAATAAAAAAACTAATTTGATGATTTTAGTTAAATTAATGATAAAAAAATATATTTTAATCTTTTTAAAAAAAATCACCCTTTAAGAATTATAAATTTGACTCTTGTAGGACTTAAAACTCGATCTAAAAGATCCAGTGAATTCAGACTACTATAGTGGGTCATGAAAGTGATCAACAGTTAACAAAAATATTTGGTAGCCCAAAACAAAAATACATATATTTGGTAGCATAATAAAGATGTTATATGTTGAGATATCAATGCTAAAACTGTTGGAACGATGTTGTTGCCTAACTCAAACGTTAAAAACTAAGAACCTACACACACAACAATTTTAAATATTAAGCTTTACAAAATGTAGTGATGTGCAACCAATCTATTATATTAAATGAGGATAAACTATATATATCATTGACCACCTAATTATTTAGTCCTTTTATTTTTGGTACCGATCTTTCAATTTTGTCAGTCAAATTACTTAACTATTTAATTGTATTCAATCAAATCACTTGTTTTTTTCCTCTAATTTAAATTTATTTAATTTAGATAAGCTGAAGAATGAAGGAGACATGAGGGGTCAAACCTCATACCTTGGTAACAGCTTGTACACGCCTTACCATTGAGCCAAGCTCCAAATTTGAGTTATTATTTACACAATACCATATATAATTTAGTTAATGCCAAATATATATATATGCCCATGGTGAGAATTTAACATAGATTTTTTATATATATTATAAATTGGTTATAAAATATTAAAATAAAAACTAAATTTAAGATTTATACATTTTAAAATAAATTTAATAATTTTCTTTTCACATTTATAATTCAAGGATTATATATTATTTCAAATCGAATCTTTTTAATTTAATTAATAATTTTATTTTTTATTAAAAATAAAATGTGAATCATTTATATTTTAATTAAATGAGAATCATTTTATTTTGCAATATTTAATTCAAGGATTTATATAATTTTTTATTAAAAATAAAATGAGAATCATTTTATTTTTTTCATAAAATTAAAATCATTACTTAAATTAAAAAGATTCGATTTGAAATTATATATAATCTTTAAATTATAAATATGAAAAGGAAAATATTAAATTTATTTTAACATATATAAATCTTAAATTTAATTTTTATTTTAATATTTTATAAACCAATTTATAATATATATAAAAAATCTATGTTCAATTCTCACCATGTGCATTTTTTTTGGAAATAACTAAATTATATATGGTATTGTGTAAATAGTAACTAAAATTTGGAGCTTGACTCAGTGGTAAGGTGTGTACAAGCTGTTTCTAAGGTCCCAGGTTTGATCCCTCATGTCTCCTTCATTCTTCAACCTTCTGGTTGGAAGATAAATATATAAATTAAATAAATTTAAATTGGTGACATATGTCACCATCTAATTGGTGGATTAACTTCATTGAATTAAATTTATTTTAGGATCAAATTGAAAAAATCTATAAATATTGAGGACTAAATAATTAAGTGATCAATGATATAGTTTACCCTATAAATAAATCCATACATGCCAATTGTGTTAGCAAACATCATACACGGCAAGATTTACCATTCAAAATAATCCGTCTAGCATGTTATCCTATATATACACACAAAATTATGTAGTTTACCAAAAGTATATTTACCTTTTCATATAAATAAAGGTACACTACGCATTTAGTATATAAATTATCAATTTTAATTTATTTTAATATTTAATTTTTAATTTTTTTAAATTATACTTAACATTTAGTTTTTGTTTCATTTTAGTATCTCATTGTTTAAAACTTAACACTTTTAATACTTAAACTATCAATTTGGTCCATTTTAGTGCCTAAACTTTTATTTTTTTTCAAAATTTAAATTTAAATTTTGAATGGTGTACTGAAATGAAACAAAAAAAACTAAACTTTATATATGATTTTTAAAAAATTAAAAGTTTAAATACTAAAATAGACTAAAACTAATAATTTAAGTACTAAACATGTAATTTACCCTAAAATAAAGGGAGCTAATAACGTGAGAAGGCCCAACGAGGCAACGACAATATAAAAAAAGGGGGAGTTGATAGGGAGGCTTAGGGTTTGACAGAAAGATAAAGGAGAAGATAAGATGTTTTTCTTTATTATGCATTATTGTTCTTCTTACTAAAAAGTTGAGAAGGAAAGGAGAGATAATAAATAAAGAAAAAAATATATTTAAAAATAGGTGTCAATCTGGTGGAAAAAAGAAGAAGCTAAAATCAAGGGGATTCGAATCGATAGAGATGAAAAATAACTGAAATCTTTAACGGTGATAGGGATGTTTTATCCCCGAAGCTCAATAGGAATGTGGACATGGTTTTCTATATTCGATCCGTGGGGATAATCAAACGATACACATGTGAATAACCGTTGGGATCCCAAAAAATATCTGTAAGGATCCCCAATATTTTACAAAATTTTAAAAATATAGTTATAATCATTTGTCTATATACGTTAATATATATATTAATAAAAAATTATATATAATAAGATTGTGAGATTACGTGTTGCCACTGTTACATCTTAAAAGAACTAAAATTGAAATTTAGATCTTTTCTTATTTAATATACATTGATTTATTGATATTGAAAATGGTTAAAATTATACATATACATTGTTTGTTAGATGAATATTGACATTTGAAACTTTCATATTATAGATATAGACCAATTTGAGACAATCTAATATATCTTACAAATTTTAGGTGTTGCATTGATTTAAAAAATGATTGTTTATTTTTTGGGAGGAGATTAATCGAAACTTGCAGGAATCCGTAAGGGATGAGTACGAAGACAAAACAAATCCTCAAAACATACAATGGGATTCCCTAAAATCGTACCCGCAAGTAGGAGTGTTCATTGTTTGGTTAAAATCGAATTAACAGATCGAACCAAAATTTCGGTCATTTAATTTTGGGTTCAGTCGGTTAACAGTTAATGTTTTTTTTTCCAAATTTCAGTTTCAGTTAATTATGTTCGAAATCAGTTAATCAACCGAATTAAATGAAATTATTAAATATTTAATATATTATATATATTATTTAGCTTTAGGGGTGTTTGAACTCGATTTTTACCGAATTAACTGAATAAACCAAAAAATATTAAATATTTAATATATATTATTTATAAATTTCAGTTAATTCAGTTAACCGAACTTAATTCGGTTCGGTTAAATTTTTTTAAGAAAAAATTCGGTTCAATTAAATGTTAATGGAGGAAAAAATTTGGTTAATAAAATTAAGATCAAACCGAATTATCCATTTGAACATCCATACCTATAAGTATTAGGAACAAAATGGGTAATGCAAAACCGTCCTCATCCCGCCCCTAGGGCTGAGCAACGAAACCGAGAAAACCGAAAAACCGACACGAACCGAGTAAAACGGTTCTGTTTGGTTCGGTTTGGCTTTAAACGGTTCGGTTTTTGGTTCGGTTTAAAGGCTTCATTTTTTTGATTCGGTTCGGTTCGGGTTTTCCATATGGAACCCATTTGTTCCATATTGAACCGAATAGGCAATTTTTGTAAAAAAATTATAGTTTCAAGTGATTTTTTTATTGAAAAACCGATAAACCCGAACCGTTAAAAAAACCTAACCGAAAAAACCGGTTTCAATTTTTTCGGTTTTTTAACTATTCGGTTTCGGTTTCGGTTTAAATATTAAAAATCAGTTTATTTCGATTCGGTTCAATTTTTGGTAAAAAACCGAACCGAATACACCCCTACCCGCCCCGTTATCACCCCTATGCAAAAAGCAAAAACTTTTATCAATAAAAAAAGGGATAAATGATTAATGAGTTTATTCAAATTTAAGAAAAAAAATGCGAAAAGAAAAGGAAATATTCAAGGATCCACTTTTGTGTTTTCACTAGAAAAATATACATTTATCTAAATTATTTATCAAATTAATATTTTTAATTAATTATTTTAAAAATAATAATTTTATTGATAAAATATAGAATATCATATAAATAAAAGAAGTACAGAGAAAAAAATATCTTTCACGAGTTAAAAAATCATATGTATTCTATTGATTGTGTCTTCTATGATTTTTTTTTAAATTAATTTTTTCAACATTAAATTAAGAATTTCTTTTGTAAACATTGATAATTATCTGATGTGGTTCTTCATAATATCAAACTAATAAAAATTCTAAGAAGAATTAAATTTGAAATATTAATGAAAGCATTAATGTTTAATTTATCGATTTTTACTAATTCAAATTAAATACTATAGATGTCTATTATGAGATGATTCTTCTAATTCAATTTTTTATTGATAATATCAAAATTCGAACTATTACTTTTACTTGAAAATTCTATTTTTTTCACTCTATTATGTCAATTGGTCGTTGATTTTTTCTTTTAATTATTTGGATAAAGTTTTACAAATTTTCTAATTATATTTTTTATTATGTTATGATAAGATTTTATTAATTTTATTAGGCATATAACGGAATTTGAATCTTTATTTTAAATATAATATCAAATATATATAAAATCAATTTTTAAAATTATATATATGACTTTTTATTTTAAATATATACAAAAGTCAATGCGAAAAATATGATATGAGATAAAGAATAAATGATATTTAAAACTGATTTTAAATAAATTAAACATACTGCCTTTAATTGATTAAAATATAATTAATAAAACTTTTTTTCTAGAAAAATTCGTAACTATTAAATCCAAACAAAACACAGATAGGCAAAGCTTTAACATAGAAAACAAAAGACACACGTCATGTGTCGAAGTCGCCGTCAGGCGACCCTTCCTATCTCCACGCGCTCACGCGCCATTTTTCCTTTTCTCTTACTACACAAATGAGACGAGTTTCCCACGGCTCGAAACATCAAAATAGGCATAGGATGAAATTCCTCTAGCAGTTTCGTTTTGTTACCAAGGCTTCTCCCGTTTCACGCGCCTCCTCTCCCATTACACGCGCCACCTCTCTCCCTTTCAATTCATATCTTCTTCTTTTTTTCTTGTGAAAGATCTGATTAAAGAAGATCCGATGGTAGAGACTAGTTGAGGTTTCAAGGTGGCTTGAGTTCATTTTGTTTTCTGGTAATTTTAATGAAAGAGTGACATCAACTGATGCTGAGAAGAAGATGGGAGGAGTCACGTCGTCGATCGCCTCGAAATTCGCTTTCTTCCCGCCAAATCCCCCGTCATACACAGTTGTAGAAGACGAGTCATGCGGCGGTCGGCTGTATATACCAGAGGTACCGAGGAGGGATGACGTCGACGTCTTGAAGCTACGCACCCGCCGTGGAAACGACATCGTAGCTGTCCATATAAAACATCCCAAAGCTTCCGCTACTCTCTTGTATTCTCATGGAAATGCCGCTGATTTGGGCCAAATGTTTGAGCTTTACGCCGAGTTGTGTAATCGCCTTCGAGTTAATCTCTTGGGGTACTTTTTTTTTACCTTCTTTTATAGAATTTCTGATTACATAACAGGTAGTACTTTTGTTTCCTTTTGAAACATGATCTTCTTTCTTGGTTAGTCTTAGGTTTTTACTATTTTGCTTAAATTAAAGTTGTTTTAGTTTAATGGAAGTGGTTACTCTAGCTTTTGATTTTCTTCTTTTTTTTTCTCATTTTTTATTTTTTAGTATAAAACAAAGTTTTAATTGTTTTATTTACTATATTAGTTGTAGTAAGACTGAACTTTCTTGGTTCACCTGTCTGATTGATAGTGTCATGATGAATGTTAGGGAAAGGAGAGATTTTAGGCTGGCAGTGAGTGGAAGTTGGGTTTGGCTCTTGTTAACCATACCATATATTGACTTCACAATTAATAAGTGGATCATATACATGTGAATATGATAGCAATGAGTGTATCGAGAGTAATGGAATCGGTCCTAACATGTGAAAATTATGCTGATTTTGATATATGCTATGTTGTGAGATTAGTGCTAGGGGTTTTGCTTTAACTGGCTTCATTTCCACAATACTAAAGAGAGAAGGAAGGAGAAAGAATAGACTTGGAAAGGATTATTGGTCAAGGCATTGTTGTTAAGTTAGGCGTTAGGGGTTTCTTTTTTCCTGTTATTTTTGCTTCACTGTAGCTTCTGCACTGTGAGGGGTCATATTTGTAAAGATTACTTGCTTCTTGTCGAGTAGCTAGATACGATGCAAATATATTTTCCTTTTTCTTTTGGCAAAAAGTGATGTGAAGCTTTAAATGCTTAAGAACATCGACATGCTATGTTACACAAATGCAGTTGTGAGTGTAGACAACACAGGTATGCTTGGGTAGTCCTATCTAACAACTTCTCCTAAGAGTCCTACCAAATAACCTCTTTTGGAAACGAAGGTCTCTGATCTGTCTATGCTTTGCTATTATTGCATTTGCTTGATGTGAAACTATTGTCTACATTACTCGGATCTGGTCTCTGTCTGATATGGGTATGTGTTCGACACGGAGGGTCATATCCACTTACCATGTTTGATACTAGGTTCAGACACTGAGTACTTCTAGAAAATGAAGAGTCAAAGCAACATAGGTGGAGGTTTCATTCTATATGCAGGCACAGTCTGGCTTGAATTTGATTGAATCATATAATATGTTTAACTGTTGATAAGTGTAATACTTTAGTACCCTAATGAAGGTGTTGACATAAGTTAACGATAGATAAGAGGGGAAAAAGGGAGCTTGTTGCTTCCTTGCAGATGGAATTTTCCTAGCTAGGAAAAAAATCGATAAGTTTGCCTCAGAATTAGGCACTGACTTATTACCTATTGATCCAAACTTCTTGAATTTTCTCAGATGAACAGGATTAGGTACTGACTTATTACCTATTCGAGAAGTTTTCTTCCTTGTCTATATAGCAATTCTCAAAGTTTTTCGAGTTTTGATGCAAAATTGAGCTCCCGTTCATACAAATGAAGAAACATCCATCAGAATCTCTACCAGACATAGACTAATGAACATCATTCTCCTGTTCTTAAGCATTTATTTATTATTGTTAAAGTGTTATAAAAAATAATAAGTAATACTTCAGTCAAGCTTTCTCTTATATTTATTTATTTTTCTAAACGGTTCCTGATATAACTCGTTTTTCCCCTAGGTATGATTACTCTGGCTACGGACAGTCGACTGGAAAGGTTGGTCACCTGGTTTCCCTTTTCTCAGTTGCTAATGTAGGGAGCAAAGCCTTACTCATATTAACTATAGCAATTTAACTATCAATGTGGCACTTTAAACGGTTAAATATTTTGCTAAGCCACTGGTGTGGTGGTGAAGGACTGGTATCAGTATTTTCTATGTTCGGTGTGATTCAGAATCTATAAATTTTCTTTGCAGCCATATCATTTCTGATTTCTTGTCTGTAAATTATGAAGATATTAGTACTGCTTGATGGAAACACGTATTCTAATTGTCATTTACTTTCATTTGAAACAGCCGACCGAGTGTAATACATATGCAGACATAGATGCAGGATATACATGCCTCAAGGAACGGTATGGGGTTAAAGAAGAAGATTTAATATTATATGGACAGTCAGTCGGTAGTGGACCTACTGTTGATCTTGCTTCTCGTTTGCCAAACTTGAGAGGCGTGGTTCTACATAGCCCGATTTTGTCTGGCATGAGAGTATTGTACCCAGTCAAAAGGACCTACTGGTTTGACATTTACAAGGTAAGTCTCCCTTATTTACCCCCTATTTCTATTTTCTTGGTTTTTTATCTCGTATGTTGCGGACCTTCATTATTTGCTTTTTTACCATTCTAATTTTCAGAATATTGACAAAATTGGAGCAGTGAACTGTCAAGTCTTGGTAATTCATGTAAGTATTCTTATCGTTATAACTTTAATGGGATAAATCAACTTTCAGTCTCCTTACTCAGTCCACTTTGTTTTGGTCCATATTAATCCATGAACTTGACAAATTTTCCCATTTTAGTTCTTTCGATGATGTAACACACAGGTTGTATCACATGGCAAACTCCCAGTTGCCACATCATTATTATTATTATTATTTGGATTGATATGGGTAAGTACAAGGCAATATCTATTTATAGTTAACTCTCTACCTTTTGACATTAAACGTTCACGTCCCTGGCATTCTTGGTGCTCAAACCCGGGACTTGTGCCACATCATTAGGACTAAGAATGGGTCAAAAATCCAAGTTCAATGAGCAATGTTCAGGGGCCAAGTTGGGTAAAGTTGTGAAGTTCAGGGACCAAAAAGTAGTGGCAAAGCTCATTATTTTCTGTTGGCAGGGGACAGCAGACGAAGTTGTTCATTACTCCCATGGAAAACAGCTTTGGGAGCTTTGCAAGAATAAGTACGAACCTTTGTGGGTAAATGGAGGAGGACATTGCAATCTGGAGATCTACCCAGAATTCATTAGACATCTGAAGAAATTTGTACAATCTTTGAACCAATCAAAAGCATCAGCTGCTGCTGCAAATGGTTCTGAAAAAATAGTAGTAAACCCTGAGAATCAGAGCAAACCATCCAAGGGTGGAACTTCCGACACTTTTGAATTGAGCGCTGACCTTCCTGAAGTTTCGAGAAACAGTTTGGATAGCCGACTTGAGAAGAAGTCTAGTAAGCCCGAGAAGTCTCGGATGAGCACCGATCGCGTCGACAGATTTAGGAGGAAAAAGGGCTTAGTTTGGTGATGAGTTTACAACTCGAATAAAAAGGATTTTGCCCATATATATGGATGTGTTCCATATTCCCAGTACGGTTGGGGAGGTAATTGTACTTGTGTATTTGTAATGTTACATCAGGGTCCGGCATAAGTCATCAGATTTTTGTTATAAATATGATTTGTCTGTATTTTTAGAAAACAAGTTGATTAAGTTAAAAAAAAATAGACTATAAATTATCGTGTAAGAAGAACAGCCTCTGCCTCGATGCTAAATGAAAAGTATTCTGGTGGTTTCTGCCATTGATATTGAAATCTTTAATTTTGCGTTTCTCGTAAACCTGATATCATTTGATGCCAACTTGAAAAGGAAACGAAATGACTTAATCTTGAAACATTTCTAACACAAAAAAGACCTAACAATTTGAAGATTTGAAATAATCCAAACTCAACAAGCCTATTTGACAAATCTTTCTTTTGGCACAGTCGCAACTTCTGTTGTCGTCGTCTTTGATGCAATCAATGCTGCTTCTAAAAAGAGTTAAAAAGGTTAAGCCCAACTTCGTCTAGAAGCCCAGCAATTGGTGCTTAATAACGGGAAAATCATCCGAACCACCAAGTCTAACACAAAGCTTCCACTTCCTTCCCCATTCTTCTCTGTGCCCTTACTGAATTGAAGCATCCGAAGTGAAACAGGTGAATCCCTTAATTTCCATTATTCACTTCTATCTTATTTACTCTAAAGTATCCTCCCCTTTTTCGGGGTATCTCTTGTCTACTTTGCTTACCTTTCACTGTATTTTCTATTCTGTAGTAGTAACTGCTCAATATATATTCTGGGTTCTAGCTTAAGTTGTCTATGAATGGGAAATTATGTAGAAATCTGAATGAAATGTTTCAAAAAATTGAATTTCGTAAGTTCTCCTTTCTTAAATTATTCTCTAAAGAGAAAATTATACTCAAAGATTGAATCTTTTAGATAAAGGAACTATAGGTGACAGTTTGCCCAACTGCTCTTCGTTATTTTATTATGAGTAAATATATTCTGCTACGTTTGTTTTAGGCCAATGTTGCATGCAATCTCTGTTCCAAACACTTGCATTTTGTATCCGAGAAGCCGGTGTTTGGGTCAAAGTACTCGAGGGTCGAGAAGACTTCGTGTGCGAACTTCTTTGCCGGATAATAATGGTGGATTTAAAGTGGAGTATACACCCTGGTTGATTGTTGGATTGGGTAACCCTGGAATTAAGTACCATGGAACACGGCACAATGTAATGGTTTACAAATTATGAAGCTGAGCTTACTTTTCTTGTCGTTTATGTGGTATTTACGTTGTTCTATATATCAGGTTGGTTTCGAAATGATTGATCAAATTTCTCGATCGGAAGGGATTGTGTTGAATACTATACAGTCAAAAGCTCTAATTGGAATAGGTATACATTTTGTATTTGCGTTGCTAAGGTCTTTTATTTGTTTATTTAACTTTGTCAGGGAATCAATGCCCTTTATTCTTTCGTGATTCTCGATTATGTTTGATGATTTACGAAGATCTCTTTTGTGATCAGTACAGGTGCCATTGGAGAAGTACCGATTTTGTTGGCAAAACCTCAGGCATACATGAATTTCAGTGGGGAATCGGTGAGTCGTACATTTTGTTTTTACCTTTTCCCATCTCAATTCTACATAGCAGGCTCTCAGTTATACATTCACATGTCCCTTCTCACATGTGGATGCATTTGCGGCTAACATGTAACTGGACACCTACTGCATAGAGTGTTTAATGTTTATGTAGTTCATTAGAGATACTTGGGAAATTCAGTTTAAAACTTATTCGGTACTCGGGACAGTTATTAAAAATTTACTGATGGCCATTAGTGCTCCTTGGTCTGACTTTTTCATCTTGTATGCATTTCTTATGTCGTATCTTCTTTCGTTATATTTTAAATATCATTTTGGTGAATCATTTACACCACTTTATAACCGTTTTCATCTCTTAACGATTCCAAACTTTTTGTTTTCGTAAAGGTTGGGCCTCTTGCTGCCTATTATCAAGTTCCCCTGCGCCACATTTTGTTGGTATGTTCTTACATCCGAAATTTTTGTTATTTCTGTTTAGGGCACTTTGACTTTGAGCTTTCCAATGTAGGTATATGATGAGATGAGCTTGCCGAACGGTGTTTTGAGGCTTCAGCCGAAAGGAGGACATGGACATCATAACGGGTATGTTCCATCGATATTACTAGTAGCAGAATCTCTGAGTCTCCGACTCTCCGTTGGCATCAAGCTGGATTACTTAAGATTCATTGGCGATTCAAAAACATTGACTTATGCTTTCTTGTTGCAGAGTGAAGAGTGTGATTGGCCATTTGGATGGAACTCGTGAGTTTCCTCGGTTATGCATAGGTGGGCTCATCGGATCACTTCGACTTTTGCTTAACCGTGAAACGTTTGCAACACAAGTACACATTCTTATGACATGGTGATTCTAAAAGAACTATCTATGGTCCAGGCATTGGAAATCCACCTGGTGCTATGGACATGAAAGCTTATCTTCTACAGAAGTTCAGTCCTGTGGAGCGAAATCCGGTAACATTTGCACCGTACATGGATACTTTAGACTAAATGAAGTCCTAGTTACATAGGGTAGTTTGAGAGATGAAAATGAAGTTTGATACTGGGGTATTTCGACAGATCGATGAGGCGCTGGAGCATGGAGTTGAGGCATTGACACTGGTGCTAGGTGGGTTCAGCCAAAAGATCACAAGATTCAATTTAGGGCAGAAGTACAAGCATCACAAAGTTTGACCATATCCATATCATCCATTTCATTACACTACATTACATGTATGTTACCAAGCCATGGATGACATGGTTAGTAAGTATAAACATTTTTAAGCATCTGTTCCCTTATTTTCGTTCCCAGACAACTCTTCTGAATCTGTGTAATGGAAATAGATAATATATTCACGAGTTTCGGCGACTCGAAAATATACAGTGTTATGAATTGTTCGTCGGAAAATAGTGTTGAAGCCTTTTAGTAGGAGACAGCTGATTGACAGACAACAGACAAAACATTAGCCTTTTTTTACCTAAAACGAGTGGAAAGAATTAGAAAGAGCCTATTCCATAAGCCTGTAAATGAACTGAACGTTCAGCGAACCGTTCATGAATCGTGCGGCGAGAAGTTCATTTATGTGCGTTTATTTATTAATTGAACGAACATGAACAAGATTTTATATTTGTTTAATTAAATGAACGAACATGAACAAGATTTTGTGTTCGTTTAATTAAATGAACGAACATGAACATAGGTCTCATTCGTTCATTTACGTTCGTGAACGTTCGGTTATATTCGTTCGGCTATGTTCGTTCGGTTATATTCGTTCGGTTATGTTCGTTTATGTTCATTCATTTATATTTAACACAATCTTCTTAAATCAATTTTGGTGACCAATTTGTAAGTATCTTAAAAATATTAATTAATATGATATTCTGATGACCAATCTATAATTAACCTAATTTTATTTGGAGATTAAATCCAATATGTTAACCCGTGAGGCATCTCGCATCTGTATTCATTTTCCCCTTTTTTCCCAAACCCTAATGTTTACTGGAGAGTGAAGACGATGTTGAAAGTTTCAAAACAAATTATATTATAGTACAATCAGAAATTTACAGGTCTGTTTTCATCTCTTTCTCTGTTTTATTTGGCTTAATAGTTGATATGTAAAGTTATTGCGGGTATCTTCACATATAAAACTCAAGAAAACATTATATTTTTTTCTAGAAATAGATGGGAAGATAAAGGTAACAATCGGAAATATATGAGCATCAGTAAAGAGAAAAATATAATAGAATTTGCCGGAAAACAAAACAAATCTTTTTATGCAATTTCTGAAAAATAGTGTAATAGCGGAAGTAATGTGTTTTCCAGAAAGAATCCATTAATATGTAGAAAATACACTTTGACAATGAACTTTTGTTTTCATAATTCTTGTGTGACCTTTAGTTGTGGAGTAGACTTTAGGTATGTTAAAATTTTGAATGGTGGTTTAGCAATAATATCAGTTACGATATGTAGCATCAAAGGGATTTCAGATCTATGTTATTGCCTTGTAGTCCAATTTGTATCGTTTGAAATCTTCATGCTGTTAAATTTTCTACTCTTCTAGCGGAAATGACCATTATTAACAAACCTCACTAAAATCTGACATTGATGTCACAAAACTTTTAGCCGGCGAATTTATTAGAATAACGTAGATCTGGTTGATTTGCATTGTCGACTATTTTTCATGAAAGAACAATGGAAGGTAGAGTCTCTAACGTTTATGTTCGTGTTCATTTATGTTCGTGTTCGTTAATGTTCGTGTTTGTTTATGTTCGTTTATTTATTAAATGAATAAACATGAACAAGTTATATTCCTTAATAAATGAACATGAACAAAAAATTTTTTTGTTTGTTTATGTTCATTTATTTATTAAATGAACGAACATGAACATACATCTGTTCGTATACGTTCGATTCGTTTACAAGCCTACTATTCCATACCTTTTATCTTCCCAGCCATTAAAGTTCAAATGTAAAGGAAGTAAACTTTCATGGTAAATAGCAAATATCACGAATTATTAATTAACAAATGTTGTATTTTTTTATATTTATTGATATTTTATTTATTAATCGATTAATTCATATTAAATATTATAAGTGTAATTAGGGGATAATTCTTTTAATTTAATTTATTTTATTTACAACATCACGTTGAAACTTGAACTTTTTTTTTGAGATTTGACGTTTGATTAGGCTAAATTAACAATAATTAATACATTGTTAGTTTATTTTAATATTGAATTATTTAATAGAAATAATTAACTTAACTAATCGATTGAATGAGGTGAATAAAATCTTTAAAGCGAATTGATTCCCCAAACATTATGAATAAATCAGGACCCACTTCGAAATAAGAACGTCGGGAACATGCATAAAGCGATACTAACTCGATAATAATTCAATCGGAAGACTTTTAAGGCAGAGTTTAGTAAAAATTAGTTGAATCTTATTCGGGAGATAAGATAATAAGTTGTCCCAATGTCAGATTAAGAACAACTTTCGTAGGAGACCTTCGAATTATGAAATACTTTCCGTGACACTCGATCCGACAACCCAAAAATAAAAACCTTGTAATCCACCACTTAAGCTGGATAATCATTTCGTTAGAGTGAACCTTCTTCAAGTTTCATTAGAAATGGCAGAGACTAGTAAATCTCAGCCAAACCCAGATCTTATCCTTGACCCTATATCTCTTTTTCTTTCTCAGAATTCAAGCCCCACCAGCCCATTTCCTTTAAGGCTCACAACAGAGAGTCCTGTAATGGAAAGAGGCCCCAGATACAGAGCATACGCAGAGTTGAGAGAAACAAAGCTGAGGATGATGCAACGAGAAAAGGAAGATGTCGAAATCAAACAAACGCCGACCAAGAAACAAGTGAAGTTCAGCTCGAGCGTGGGGATTTCCTTGAAAGGGTCTTCTTCTTTGGTGGCTCAATCGGTACCCGATTTTCCGGCAACTTTAAGGAAAGAAAATCGAAGACCCCCTGGGGTAGAATTGACGCCGCCGCTGACGGGGAAGAATTGGTGGAAAGAGAATGAGGGTTGGTCGTCGAATTTGAGGGGCAGTAAATCTGCAAATGCGGGGGAGAAAAAAGGGATGATGATGAAAAAGAGTATGCATCTGTTGGAGATTTGAAAGGGATTTCATTAGCAGCAGCCAATGCTATTAATGGTGAAAACAGGGGAGGGAAGACTAATGGCCGAGGTGTTGGTGGTGCTAGTAATACTATTTTGAGGTATCGACAGCTTTAGATTCTGTTGGTAATAAAAGGGGGTTCGAATTTCAATTTTATTTTCTTGATTGGATTTTGTTTTACAAGGATTTCACTAGCTGATACCACATGGTAGATAGATTTGGAGTTCGTATTGTTTTTGACGAGAGATTGTTGATCATCCTCTGAATTACTGAGTTGACTTGTTCAATAAATTCAAGATTAAAAAATCATAATATATTTAATATTTAATAATTTCTATTAATTAATCGATTTCAAACTGAATTAACCATTAATCGAATATTGAAAAAATATTAACCGTTCTCAAATTGAACTAATTCGGTGACCGACCGAATTAACCCAACTAATTCGGTTCGATCAGCTAATTCGGTTAAAAAAAATGAACACCACAATATAATAAACGATAGATTTGATTTCAATACAATTATTTTAATTGATTTATTTAATATGAAATTTAATATAAACCAAACATGATTTAAATGGGTAGTTTTGTCGTACGCAACCTTAATATACGGCTAAGGAAATACACTACCGGAAATATTATTAATTTTTAACATTTTAAGTAAAAAATTACCTAAAATATTATTTTTTTGGGTAAAGAATAGTAATGATCACTGAACTTTTCTAAATCTTTAATTTAGGTCCCCTAATTTTTAAAACTTACAACACAATCCTTAATTTCATTCTAAACCCTAAATTCTTTTTCGATCTCGAATTTCCTTTTTCATTTATCTCTTCTCATTTCCAGAGTAACTTTTCATTCGAGGATGCATGGGAATTTCTAATCTAACTTTGAATTATGTGGAGGTGTTGACTTGAATAAGGGTTCATTGAGAGAAGACCCGACCAAGGGACTATCGGGACCATCAACGATTCAAGGTGTAATGTTAGATACATGTCATCTCAGGTGAAGCATAGATGTTCGATGAAATGCTTATGAGAAAAATGGGGTTAGAAATGCAGAGTTAACAAATACTACTAAGATGAACTAAGTATTATTATTGAAAGTCACCAATAAAGCTTGAATTATTTTGTATAAATGACATAATAATTTTTTCGTTTAATCCTTGTGGTTAAACATTTTCCAACAAATGATCAAATATAATGAAATCCCAAACAGCGCATTCAGCTCTCAGTTTCTTTTGCAACTCGAAAGGCATCAAGACAGGGTCAAGTAGCTGCTCCAAATATACTACCATGTCATGATGCCTTTCGAGTTATGTGCATGCTGAATTGTCTTCTAAAGCTATAATTCAATAAAATTCAACTGTAAAATTTTCAAAACATGTAAAAAAATCCAATTCGTTCACGATATATCAATCTCATAATCAACATGAACTTATTAAAAAGAATACGAGCTCACAGGACGTCGAAAACCACAGGTCGGATCAATACCATTCCCAATAAACTAGTACCAACAGTCTCTCGGATTGAGCCTGGCGATTTTACTATGTCGACACCCACAACCAATTCTCTGATTTAAAGAAAAACCAAACAAGACGATAAAAAAAATTTAGCCTAGGACCCTATTTCACTTTTATTCTTATGGACTGAATATATTTCATAAGGAGTACTAAAAGTTTTGATTAAGAAGAAAGAAAGAAAATTAGATGGTTTTGATTCAAAACTAACACCGAATATCTAGATCATTGACATGCAGTTCCAGAAACATAAAAATTTCAACACAAAACACACAATGCGAGCTGAAAATGGGAAAGTGCGAAAGAGGAAAAGTTTACTTCCGGATAGCCCAAAAGAGAAAATAAATACCTTCTTGCAAGTGAGGGGAGAGGCTAAGAAATAAATGCAATCGGTGTTGCGTTCCAGCAATTCTTCCTCCATTTTTTCTTTGTAAATAAAAAGCTGAAAGACAGAGAACTACTTGGGCTTACAATTTTACATGGCGGAAAATTGAAGAACAAAAACCAAACGAGAGTGCATGTGAGCGAAAGAAACTAAGAGGTGAATGCGCTGTTTGGGATTTCATTATATTTGATCATCTGTTGGAAAATATTTAACCATAATGATTAAACGAAGAAATTATTATATTCCATTTATACAAAATAATTTCAGCTTTGTTGGTGACTTTCAACAATGATACTAAGTTCATCTTAGTAGTAGTTGTTAACTCTGCATTTCTAACCCCTTTTTTTCTCACAAACATTTCATCGAACATCTATGCTTCACCTAAGATGACATGTATCTAACATTACACCTTGAATCATTGATGGTTCCGATAGTCTCTTGGTCGAGTCTTCTCTCAATGGACCCTTATTCAAGTCAACACTTCCACATAATTCAAAGTTAGATTAGAATTTCCTATGCATCCCCGACTGAAAAGTTACGCTGAAAATGAGAAGAGATAAGTGAAAAAGGAAATTCGAGATCGAAAAGGAATTTGGGGTTTAGAATGAAATTGAGGATTATGTTGCAAGTTTTAAAACTTGGGGGCCTAAATGCAAGCGGTTGAAAAGTTTAGTGAACATATTGCAAAGGTACTAACGGCAGTGTAATGGCGTCAAACGGCCAGTTACGTCAGGGATCATATTACAAACGAACTAAATGTTGGGGGACTGTATTGCAAACAAACTAAATGTTGGATGATTGTATTGCAAGTTTTAAAAGTTGAGGGACCTAAATGAAAACTTTAAAAAAGTTCAGTGACCGTTACTTTACTTAATCCTTTTTTTACCTAAAACATTAATTTTTTTAACATATCTTGTAGCGCATTTCCTTAGTCATATATTAAACTACCGCACATGAGACTTTTCCGATTTAAATTATATCTGAAATTTAAAATAAATTAATCTGAATTAAAATTGACCTTAATTTTTTTTAATAACACAGGAATAGCAGTAAACTCAACTGAAACTAAACAGAATCTTAATCTTCGTGCAGCACACCTAAGACCGCATATGGGGCACTGTAAACTTCACACACTCCGATTGATTCCATTCAGCGATCGACTCCAAACAATCTGCGATACGGTTACCTTGACGAGGAACGATTACCTTAATTTTAATTACACCTATATTGATTTATATACAATTTTATCTAAATTAATTGTCACCAAAATTAAAAGTAAATCAAATTTATTTTTTTAAATCTAATTTAAATAAAAAATATTAAACATGAATTCATTGAATGATTAAAGATAGACTTGTACAAATATATTTTTAAAATGTAATGTACACATTTTTCTTCTCAACAAAATCTATATAATTAAAATAATAATGTCATCACAAGTTAATGTCAAATCAAGGTGTACGAGTAAAAAATCATATTTAAATGATTGTAACGTAAGCATGACATCACAAGTTATAACATATATAATAAAAGATTAAATTATGGACTGTGCTGTAATTCTTAATGATTTAATCTATAATTAATTGTTCCGGTTAAAATCTTATATTTAAAGAAAGCCATCCAACTCTAAGTTTATGTTAATTGTTTGATTTAAATAATGATATTATAAGAATAAAATATTAAATTAAATAAATCAAAAGTGTAAAATATAATATAATATACAAGACACATTATATTTTCAAGAGAACTATACATAAAGAAGTTAAATAAAAATATATATACTAATTACAGTTTAAATATAATAAAAATACCAAAACTCAAAATTTTAACAAAATAAAAGAAATAAAATATCAGTGTCGGTAGGTCGAAGTTTTTGAAATAAACTAATGCGGACAATCTTTACAAATCATGTTCTTCATAATTAATTATGTATGTTTAGATTCATAAATTCTTATGTGTCGAATAAAATTATATACCATTGGTGTATAGAACTATAGACATATTTGATACGTAGGCATAACCAGCCAAAGAGCCTCCGATGGCGTTGCTTGTCCACAAAATCTTTATCATCTTACTTGCCACCCAGACCCAGTTTATTTTATCATGAATTTCAAAGTACTTGAAATGGAGAAAGAAGTAGATTTCATGAAATTAGGAAAGAAACTGCATTTCATCCATAATAGTTCTCATGCCATTCAATCGGAAATACAAAAACAAAACAAAGAACCCATAGCCAATGCCTCAAAGATAATGACCAAAAGGAAATGAAATAAGTACAACTTTAAAAAAACAAATGGCATTCCCTACAAGTGAAGGAGCCCAAACGTGAAGAGCTTATTCATAGCCTTCGGGCTTGTGGGCAATGAAACTGATGCACTGCACTTGAAGGACTTTGTCGAATCCGATGATTCTAATGAATGCCTTGGGGTATTCCTTCTTGCACTCCTCCAGCTCCGCCAGAACCTGGGATGAATTGGTGCACCCGAACATGGGGAGCTGCCACATGGTCCAGTAGCGTCCGTCGTAGTACCCAGGTGACCTGTGGTTCTCACGGTACACGAATCCATGCTGCACATATCATAATAAAAATAATGGTGGATGCAGAATTTTATGTTAAAAGCAAACTTAAAAGGAGATGCAGATAATTGATGCAATGGAATAGTTTATAGAGAGTTTAGAGCTTGAAAACACCTCTAATTCGAATTCCAAGCAAGGAATCCATTTAGAACGGAGAAGGTAGTCGATTTCCTTGGCCAATTGTTCGGTGGTGAGAGTGGGAAGGTATGAGAGAGTCTTGAAATTCTTCTTCCCAAGTGGAGGCCACGCATGTACTCCAAAAAAAAACCCAGAAAATTCGATTCTGTCCGGGTAATTTCTGTTCGAACACTAGCTAATTTAAGTGCTAATTAGCACAAGTCTCATTGCGTGACCAAGTACCTTCATGCATTGCACTCTGCCACCGTTGCTTGCAAGTGAAGTAATGTCATTGTTGGCCTTCCTGGTTCAGGGGAAAGCGGAGGAGCGGAGGAGCGGAGGAGGATTTGAGGTCGGTTGAGACCGTCGGCTCACCCCATGACGTAGCGAAAACAAAATTTGACAGTCTCACCAGCGATCCAAGTACGATAAATCGAAATCGGGAGGAAAAGATGCGAATACTTACAGTGGGTTCCTTGAAAAACAGCAAGGACATTAGCGACTAATAGTGTCGATCGGTTCGAATCGTAAGCCTCCACGAAATCACGTCTCGGCCTCTACTCAGTTCACCCGATTGAAAGCAATATTTGTTCCCAAAACTATTTTTGGGAAAAAAAGCTGAAGATTATGTGTGTTAAAAAAACGGTTGCTAGACCTTACACCTCCTTTTATATCCAAGTTACCCTAATCATATTAGAGATTTTATTATTTCTAATTAATTAAATCTTTATTTAATTAATTGGAATTAAATATTCGAGATTATTAAAATATATGTATACCAAACATACATATATTAACTCTAGATATATTTTAGTAACGTACAACAAATTGTACATCTTTTCTCGTTTCAATCCTAGGGTGTGTGTAATACCCCTAACCCGTACTCTACTCGGATATGAGTCTGAGGTGTCACATTGACTTTTCAAACTTTGACTCTTGACGAAAATCAAAGAAATTTTAAACAACAAAAGTTATTACTTTACATAAGTTAACCAAAACAAAACAAAATTGATCAGAGCATTCGTAACTAACATATTTCTTACATGCCAACACATTATACACAACAAAATACATACTTTATTAGTTACTTCTGATATGATCTTCTAGCAGTGATGTTGTCCTTGCCACTTTTATTTCTGCTATTCCTGATTCTTGGTACCTACGTGTAGATCACTTACACGCTAAGTCATAGACTTAGTGAGGCATAATAATAAACACATAGCAATAATATTATGAACATGTACTACTATCAATCCATTACGACATTGCACTGCACATGTAAATACCACACTATGACATATAAATATAATATGCATGAATGAACATTTATGTCTCATAAGAGTTTTTCCTTTAATTTATCTTTGGATGCCCATGTACATTATTGAGAACAGAAGGTACGTGAGTTCACCGAGGTTGTGCACAATGTTGTCACCACAACTCGAATAAATTACCACTAGGGGCACTGAATATTTGTCCCGAAGAACCATTATGTCCCGAAAGACCACTGATAATCCCTCGACTCTTGCCATGCCAATTATACCTACAGCTCTCATATTAAATAACATGGGCTTAATTCTAAATACATTTCTCATTTTCATATCTCTTCTATCACTTTTCATATAAACACATAATTCACTTCACATGCATACACATGGTCACTTTCATTATTTCATATACCAGAATGGATTCTCGTATAATTGCATTCATTCGTATAAGTTCATATTCAAGCATAGATGAATTATGCATGAAATCACTACAACCATAATATATATATATATGCATGTACATGAATGTAAAGTCATAAATTGGACTATAAGAGATAGACTTATCACAAGTCTGATCTCTGTACAACTCTATCTAGGATATGCACTCACCTTATCCTTGCTTGCTTTAACTCGATCATAATCCTTCGATTGTTCCGTAACAGGATTACGTTCTATATCTACATAGTAATATATTGATACATATCATTATATTAATTGATATATTCTAATCTATCACTTTTTAGACTAAAATAAAGGCTACTTTTATCTCTTAATTAAGGTATGTATCAGTACACTCTTTAGTGTATCTATGCATCCCTTAACGTGTGTATCGATGCACTACCTATGCATCGTACACAAATTACATTCGATGTTTTAATCTTAAATGAGTGTATCGATGCACTCTCTATGCATCGATGCACTCATTGTATTCGATGTTTTTATGTCATTTGAGAGTGCATCGATACCCATTGAATATGTATCGATGCACACATCCCAGAAATTACATTTTGAGCTCGAAAATCACTTCATTTTCAGCTCAACACTTCATATTTCACCTCCTTTAATATTCTTAACTTTCATACACATACTTACACTCATTTCTACTTAATAATCACTTCTTTAACGTCAAAATCCTATCCTTTATATGGCATTCAAGAATCATACGCAATTATCAACATGTTCTAAATCTCATTCTAACACTTCATATTCCTTATTTAGATTGATGACAAGTCAAATCCAACTTCCAATTCTAATTATGAACTTTATTTCAAAATTCCATTCAAGAACTCCTAATATTTAATTCTTCATACACCCCTCATCTTGTTGTTTTAAAACAAATTAAGCTTTCCTTAAGCTTAATTAGCATCTAATGATTAAAACCAAACTTAAATTTCAGATAATAATCAACATATGAGAGATCTCACCTTTTCTTTGAGTCTTAACGTGTGGAGAAAAGAAGAGAAGAAGATAACTCTGGAAGCTTATTTTCTTCTCCACCCATTCCACGTGGAAACATATATAACCATAACAATTAAATTATTTCCCTTGCCAATGACCATTTTGTCGTTCTATTCCTCATTCTTTTCAATTTGATCATACACAACATTTTTCATATAAGTCCTTAACTATTCAATTAATCTACTTAAATCACCAAATTTCCAAACTTTACAATTTAGTCACTAACCCGGTATTGAGGATGTTACAAATCTCCCCCTTAAGAAAATCTATCCCCGAATTTTCATTACACAAAGAGATATGGGTACTGATTCCTCATATCCTCTTTACGCACCCATGTTGCTTCCTCTACCTTGTGATTCCTCTACCAGACTTTAACCAATGGAATAATCTTGTTCCTTAATTGCTTAACCTCGTAAGCTAAGATTTAAATTGGTTCTTCCTCATACGTTAAATTCGATTGAACCTCGATCTCTTCTGGTGTTACGATATGGGAGGGATCGAATCTATACTTCTGAAGTTTTGAAACATTAAAGACATCGTGAATCTTTTCCATTTCAGGTGGCAACGCCAATTGATATGCCACTGGTCAAACTCTCTTAATGATCTCATAAGGTCCAATAAACCGAGGACTCAACTTTTCTTTTTGGCCAAACCTCAAAACCTTCTTCCATAGAGATACTTTTAAAAATACTTGATCCCCAACTTGATATTCTAGCTCTTTCCTCTTTAAATCTGCATATGACTTCTGTCTACCCGCTGCTGCTTTGAGGTTACTCTGTATCACTTGGACCTTTCTTTATGCTTCTTGGATCAACTCAAGACCGAGAACTTCTCTATCTTTAAGCTCAAACCAATTTAAGGGTGTACGACATCTTCTTCCATAAAGAGCTTCATAGGGCGCCATTTTGATACTTGATTGATAACTATTGTTGTAAGCGAACTCTACAAGTGGTAAATATCTTTCCTATGATCCCTTGAATTCTATTACACAAGCTCTTAGCATATCCTCCAGAATTTGGATGGTTCGCTCATACTGTCCATCTGTCTGCGAATGAAATGTTGTGCTGAAATTCAGTCGTGTGCCTAATGCTTCATGCAAAGTTTTCCAAAATCTTGAAGTAAAGAGAGGGTCTCAATCTGAAACTATTGAAACAAGCACACAATGCAACCGAATAATCTCCCTGATATACAACTCATCATACTTATCCATAGAGAAATCAGCTCGAACCAGAATAAAATGGGTTGACTTAGTCAATCTATCTATAATTACCCATATTGAATCTCTTTTATTCGAAATTAAAGGTAACCCCATTACAAAATCCATTGTTACGTTCTCCCATTTCCCCTGAGGAATTGACATTGGTTGTAATAGTCTCGATGGAACCTGATGCTCAGCCTTGACTTGCTGACAAGTCAAACACTTAGATACGAAATCTGTAATATCTTTCTTCATTCCAGGCACTAATATCGACTCTTGAGGTCCATATACATTTTATTTCCTCCAGGATGCATTTTCAATGGACTATAATGAGCTTCTGATAATATTTCTTTCTTTAATTCATCATTATCCAGAATTATCAATCTCTCTCAATAAAACAAGTTCCCATCAGACTTGATCGCATAATCTTTTATCTCCTTGTTCTTTACTTGTTGCAGCTTCTTCAAACACATTTCATATTTACTTTGTAATTCCTTAATTCGATCTAGCCATGATGGCTTGATAGTTAACTCCGCACATATTGCCCCGTCTCCACTTAACGATAGTCTGGCATCCATAGCTCGTAAGGCTGTAAACTTCTTTTGGCTTAAGGCATCCGCAACCACATTTACTTTTCCCCGGATGGAAATCAATTACAACATCATAATCCTTGTGAAATTCCACCCATCTTCTCTGTCTTAAATTTAACTCCTTCTGAGTCATCAAATATTTCAAACTTTTATGGTCTGTATACAAGTAGCATCGTTCACCATACAAGTAATGACGGCAGATCTTAAGAGCGAACACTACAACAACTATCTCCAGATCGTGTGTTGGATAATTCTTTTCGTGCGGTTTTAATTGCCTCGATGCATACGCTACCACTTTGCCCTCTTGCATTAACACGCATCCCAAGCCATTATGGGATGCATCACTATACACTACAAAGTTCTTGCCAGACTCAGGTTGAACTAGCACTGGAACTTCTGTCAAAATATTCTTTAACTTTTCAAAACTTTCTTGGCATTCTGGAGTCCAAGCAAATTTTACCTCTTTCCTTAATAACTTAATTAGGGGTAATTCTATTATCGAAAAGTTTTTAGCGAACCTTCGGTAATAACCAACTAACCCCAGAAAACTCTGAACTTCTGACACATTTTTTGGAACTTCCCACTCTAAAATAGCTTTAATCTTTTGAGGGTCTACTTGAATTCCTTCTACAGAAATCACATGTCCAAGGAACGTCACTTCATTCAACTAGGATTCACATTAAGAGAGTTTAACATAAGGCTTCATTTCTCGTAAAATCTGTAACACCATCGTCAAGTGTGAACTATATTCTTCTTTGGACTTTGAATACACTAGAATATCGTCAATGAACACCACTATGAACTGATCCAAATAGGGTTGGAATATTCTGTTCATGAGATCCATGAAAGCAGTCGGTGTATTCGTAACACCAAATGGCATCACGATAAACTCATAGTGACCATATCTCGTTCTGAATGCCATCTTTGGAATATATTTATCTTGAATATTCTATTGATGGTAACCAGAATGTAAATCAATCTTTGAGAACACTGAAGCTCCCTTTAACTGATCAAATAAATCGTCAATCCGAGAGAGGGGATACTTGTTCTTGATGGTCACTTTATTGAGTTGCCTATAATCAATGCAAAAACGTATAGATCCATCCTTCTTTTTGACGAACAAAACCGGAGCTCCCCATGGCGAGACACTCGGTCTAATAAACCCTTTATCCAATAATTCTTGTAATTAAATCTTTAATTCTTGTAATTCTTTTGGGGTTATTCGATATGGTGACATTGCAATGGGTGTTGTTCCTGGCATTACTTCAATCTGAAATTCTACCTCTCTGTCTGGAGGTAAACCCGATAACTCTACAGGAAATACGATAAGAAACTTTCTTACTATAAGAATTTCTTCAATCCCTTTCTCTTTAACTCTAACATCCATCACATTAGCAATGAACCCTTGACATCCCTGTAATGGTAACTTCTTTGCCGAAATCACTGAGATTACACTTGTCAGTGGCTTCCACCCTTCACTAAATACAATGACTTCTGCACATTCTAAACTTCTCAACGTTACTCTTTTCAGTTTACAGTCAACATTAACGTAGTAACGATATAACCAGTCTATTCCCAGTATCACCTCGAATTCATCAAAAGGTAATTCCATTATATTAGTAGGGAATTCAATTCCTTGAATCTGTATGGGACACCCTCGACACATCATATTGACCCGAGCATTGTGCCCTAACGAATTAGTCATTATCTTCTCACTGCTAGTAGCTTCTAATTGAATATTCAATTCTCTCACTAACTTACTACAAATGTAAGAATAAATAAACCCCGAATCAATCAATACAAAAACATTTTTGTTATACAACTAAAAGGTACATGCTATTATTTCTGGTTTATCTCGATCATTATTGGTCTTAAGGTTGTACACTCGAGTAGTAGAGCGTATCTCCTATTGAGTAGAGGACTCTAACTGACTTCTTCCTCTACCTCTACCTCTTCCCCTCTGAGCTACAGAAATAGACCTCTCTGGTTGTGTAGATTCACCAGCTATCATGGGACAATCCCAAACAAAATTCTCGGTGTCCCCACATTTAAAGAAGGCTACCGAAACCATTCTGCATATCCCTGAGTGATTTTTTTCCACAATGTGAACATTGTCTGACTTGACTAAGGTTAGATCTCCCAAATCCAGATCCCGCTGACTGGGTTTGTCATCCCCTCATCAGATTTGATCCCCTCGCGGAGGATGCCACTGACTTCGATCTAGTTGGAGGTCGACAACCAGCATCTCTACCCCTTTTTGATGATGCAGAGCTCGATGACACACCTGTTCTTTTCGATGTCTGAGCTCTTGAATCTCCAAATATTTCATTTTGAGCCATTTCCATAGCTTTAGTACGGTTTACCACTTCTTGAAATGAGGATAGATTTAACACAATCAACATTTCCTTCAATCTTGGACGTAAACCTTCCACGAACCACTCACAAGCATCCTTCGCTGTAGGAATAATCTCGACAGCGAAGCGACTCAGCTTGTTGAATTCACACTCGTATTAATATACAATGTGATTCCACTTCTTCAGATTCATAAACTCTTACTTCATTTGTCGGATGAATTGATCTCCGATGTATTTATGCTTGAATTCTTCTAAAAATAAGGACCAAGTTACTTGATCACCAGACATTCTCAATATAACGTTGGTCTACCAAATCCTTGATTTCTCTCTAAGCAAGGAAACTACTCTATCAAGCTTATCAGCATCGGAACAATAAAGTCCCTCCAACATGATTTTTATATCATTAAGCCAAATGTCCGCAGCAACAGGATTTTCTTCGGCTTCACCTCTAAACTCTGGTGCTCCTAAACCCTTCAACTCCTTTGTAACATTTATTCTCGGAGTTGAAGTAACAAAAGGTTGGAAACGCGCCAATACCGCATCCAGTGTTTTGAAGAACACATTTTGATCACTCATAGGCACTCCAGAGGGTGCCTATTCTTCACTCTGCCTGGCCAGGGCAGGTGAATTACTACTTTCAACGGGCCTATCATTTCCCGCTTCACTTCTAGAACTACCATGTTCGGACATAATTCACTTCACATGCATACACATGGTCACTTTCATTATTTCATATACCAGAATGGATTCTCGTATAATTGCATTCATTCATATAAGTTCATATTCAAGTATAGATGAATTATGCATGAAATCACTATAACCATATATATATATATATATATATATATATATATATATGCATATATATATATATGCATGTACATGAATGTAAAGTCATAAATTGGACTATAAGAGATAGACTTATCGCAAGTCTGATCTCCGTACAACTCTATCTATGATATGCACTCACCTTATCCTTGCTTGCTTTAACTCGATCATAATCATTCGATTGTTCCGTAACAGGATTACGTTCTATATCTACATAGTAATACATTGATACATATCATTATATTAATTGATATATTCTAATCTATCACTTCTTAGACTAAAATAAAGGCTACTTTTATCTCTTAATTAAGGTATGTATCGATACACTCTTTAGTGTATCGATGCATCCCTTAACGTGTATATCGATGCATTACCTATGCATCGATACACAAATTACATTCGATGTTTTCATCTTAAATGAGTGTATCGATGCACTCCCTATGCATCGATGCACTCATTGTATTCGATGTTTTTATTTCATTTGAGAGTGCATCGATACCCATTGAATGTGTATCGATGCACACAACTCATAAATTACTTTTTGAGCTTGAAAATCACTTCATTTTCAGCTCAACACTTCATATTTCACCTCATTTAATATTCCTAACTTTCATACACATACTTACACTCATTTCTACTTAATAATCACTTCTTTAAACTCAAAATCCTATCCTTTATATGGCATTCAAGAATCATACACAATTATCAACATGTTCTAAATCTCATTCTAACACTTCATATTCCTTATTTAGATTGATGACAAGTCAAATCCAACTTCCAATTATAATTATGAACTTTATTTCAAAATTCCATTCAAGAACTCCTAATCTTTAATTCTTCCTACACCCTTCATCTTGTTGTTTTAAAACAAATTAAGCTTTCCTTAAGCTTAATTAGCATCTAATGATCAAAACCAAACTTAAATTTCAGATAATAATTAGCTTATGAGAGATCTCACCTTTGCTTTGAGTCTTCACGTGTGGAGAAAAGAATAGAAGAAGAGAACTCTGGAAGCTTATTTTCTTCTCCACCTATTCCACGTGGAAACACATATAACCATAACAATTAAATTATTTCCCTTGCCAATGACCATTTTGTCCTTCTATTCCTCATTCTTTTCAATTTGATCATACACCACATTTTTCATATAGTCTGTAACTATTTAATTAATCTACTTAAATCACCAAATTTCCAAACTTTACAATTTAGTCACTAACTCGGTATTAAGGATGTTACAATATGACCCTGTAGGTTCTTGTAACATTATCAGTAATTATTAGAACAATTCTAATATTACATACAATGAGTGACATTTAACAATATATCATTGTCACCTAAGTTACAAGAAAATATGATTCGACATATCATCTTGGTGATTAACTCTTTTATGTATTACATCCTTATGTCTTTTATATCTAGAATATGCACAAGTCTTGGAATAGTCACACTTGTATAGCCCATCTATTGTTTCTTGATATCTAGAGTAGACTTTAATTAACGAATAGTTTGTAATATCTCATATCAACTTATTCGAACATGGTCATGAGTTTCTAGTCTCACTCAATCAAGTGACCTGTGATATATTTCCTATTGTGTAAGAAGGACAAATCCTATTTTAATCATACACACCCACTACATATATTGAGATATATTCAATAACAGTCTTTATAAAGCAACCAGTTACGGAGCTTTTAACTGCATCAAAACATACAACAATATATGTTAGGATAGTATTGATCTCAAGTCTGAGGATCATACATATAATCATCACCATGAGCAATGTTATGACTATCACATAATAATTCAAGACAATTGCTCATGGTGGGTCAATCCAATACATTGTTCTCTAACAATATAATCATATATCAATTTAGAACGGAGAAGGTAGTCGATTTCCTTGGCCAATTGTTTGGAGGTGAGAGTGGGAAGGTATGAGAGAGTCTCGAACTTCTTCTTCCCAAGTGGAGGCCACACCTGTACTCCAAAAAAAAACCCAAAAATTTGATTTTGTCCGGGTAATTTCTGTTCGAACACTAGCTAATTTAAGTGCTAATTAGCACAAGTCTCATTGCGTGACCAAGTACCTTCATGCATTGCACTCTGCCACCGTTGCTTGCAAGAGAAGTGATGTCATTGTTGGCCTTCCTAGAGCCGGGGAAAGTGGAGGATGATTTGAGGCCGGTGAAAGGGGAGACCCTGTTGGCCTGAGCCGGGGAGGAGTGGTTGACGGTGGCAATGGTTGCCGACGAGATCATCGAGGAAGCCATTGCTGGTTAGTAATGTAGTATGGTATAAGCTAGTGTTATTGCCTTGATGCAATAACGTATGTATAGTGATAAAAGAAAAAGAAAATATGGGTTTATGGTTCGTTACCAGAGGTAAGAAAGGACATTTGTAGGAGCTTTAAAGGGCTACATGACCCTCTCCATCCACTAACTTTCAAAACATTACCTTTTTCTTTTTATGTATTTGATTTCTTCCCTTAACCCGTAGATTGGAATTTTGAGGCTAAGACGTAAAACCTAAATGCAATGATTGAGAATGTTAGCTTTTTCTTAACCCATAAAACGAGGGTAAGACGTAAGACATAAAACCTAAATGTAATGGTTGAGGATTTTCTCATGTATATCTTATAGTTTTGAATAACTACCATCCAATTTAATAGAATAAACATTTAAAATAAAAACATATTGCATTGTTACTTCTCTAACAGTTAACGTTAGAGCTATGAATGATTTATTCAGATGTGTGATGAGTTTAGTGTTTTAGATTAATTAAAAGTATTTGATCTATTAAATCAATACATATCAATTGAATATTCTAAAGATCTGTTATAAGATAATCTTTTCAATTTAATTTATTCCACTTACATTGTCAAGATTTGAATGCTTAATCTTACTTAAAAGATGTAATATTTTATCCCGCCAAACCTACTAATTATCATCAATGTCGTAAGTTTAATTTTAATGAGATTGAAAAACAATTAAGTATTGAACTCATCAAGTACTCCTAATGATAAAAGATTGTTCTTCCTAAAGATCTTGTGTTTAAGCACTTGCGTAATCACTGTAAACTACAAAAATAATTATTTGAACTCATAAGTTTTAGAAATAACAATATTCTATTTTACTACTGAAATCATTCGATGAATTTAAAATATCTAAAATCTTTACTACTGTGTGGAGGCTCATTGACAAACGGTATACATAGTAGAAAATTGATCATGAATTTAATTTCTTTCAGAGTTTTTTTTTAGACGTGTGTTCTGGTGAATGGAACCTACAAAGTAATTCTTATCTAAATTTCTATCTATGTTTCTGTTCCTCCACAAATGTAGCTTTCCTTACAACAATAAATTTTCAATATATATATACACGGAAAATGCAGTCCACCAGTTAATAACACCATGCGATCTTTCATGTTGGGTTAATTTTTCTTAAAAGAAACTAAAAAAGGTTTGTATAAAAAATAAATTAAAGAGACAAACGAGATTAGTCGTGAGATGAGACATTAAATTCTTTAAGCAAATTCAAGAGTTCAAATCTTAATGTCTACGAATGGAACAAATTGGGATGAAACCCAATCTAAATTAATCAGTCAATAGACAGATAACAATGATTAATTCAAAAAAACATGGTGTCATATATCATTTTAAATTTATTATTATTATTTTTAAAATAATTTTTATATATATATACCAAAAATATATTTAAACTACTTGCTTGTGATTAGTTCGAACAATATAATTACTGTAGTAGCTACTGTGGTTTTCATTCTCATTTTGTGTTATTGAAATATGTGGCTGTTGAATATTTATGTGCAGTCTTACAAAGATAATTTATGTATTGTCCATAAATCTACATTATTGAAAATAAAAGAATGTAGAATTATAAATCATTGGACCATCAAATATAAACCTTTCTTAAGGTGTGATACCGTAATAAAGATTAACGAGCCTCCATCGTCATTGATTGTCCACAAAAACTTTATCCTATCTCCTTTCAAACCAACACCGCACAATTACCTTTTCTTTTTATCCATCCAATATTAGCACGAATTTCGAAGCACTCGACATAAAGAAAATTGATTCATGAAACATGGCAAGAAACTACAGTTTATTCATATCACTTCTCATGCCATTCCATTGAAAATCCAAAAACAAAGCGAAGGAGCCATAGCCAATACCTCGATAAAGGACCAAAAGAAATAGAGTCTTTTTGAGAGCTTAATTTAAGTACAACTTTTGAAAACAAATGGAACTCCCTACGAGGGAAGGAACTCAAACGTGAACAGCTTATTAATATCCTTTGGGCTTGTGGGCAATGAAACTGATACACTGCACTTGACGCACGTTGTCGAATCCGATGATTCTAATGAATGCCTCGGGGTATTCCTTCTTGCACTCTTCCAACTCAGTCAGAACCTGGGATGAATTGGTGCACCCGAACATGGGGAGCTTCCACATGGTCCAGTAGCGTCCGTCGTAGTACCCTGGCGACCTGTGGTTCTCACGGTACGGGAATCCGTGCTGCACATATCACAACATAAACAGGACGAACGCATAATTTTACGTTAAAGGCGAACTTAAAAAGAAACTCCCATTGAAAGTGACGCAGATAGTTGATGTAATGGAATAGTTTATAGAGAGTTTAGAGTTCGAAAACACCTCTAATTGGAATTCCAAGCAAGGAATCCATTTAGAACGGAGAAGATAGTCGATTTCCTTAGCCAATTGTTCTGTAGTGAGAGTGGGAAGGTACGAGAGAGTCTCGAACTTCTTCTTCCCAAGTGGAGGCCACACCTGTACTCCGAAAAAGGAAAACAAAAATTTGATTCGATTCGATTCAAGAAACTTATGTTCGAACACCAGCTAATGACCAAGTACCTGCATGCATTGCACTCTGCCACCGTTGCTAGCAAGGGAAGTGATGTCGTTGTTGGCCTTCCTGGTGCCGGGGAAAGCGGAGGAGGATTTGAGGCCGGTGAAGGGGGCGACCATGTTGGCCTGAGCCGGGGAGGAGCGGTTGACGGTGGCAATGGTTGCCGATGAGATCATTGAGGAAGCCATTGCCGATACAGCCGGTTACCAGTAGTATACGCTAAGAGTTATATAAAAGACTCGGGAATACCTTATTAGTGTTATCGCCTATATATAGTGATAAAATTTGGCTATCATATCCTGAGATCACAAAATGATGAGATAGACTAGGGAGAAAGGGTGACCATTGGATACAAAACCAGATAACGTAACCACCTAATAATCAAAAGAGGTGGAAAAAAGCTTTGAATGGTAGCCTTAATGCCTTATCTTTGGCAACATGCCACGTGGAATAAGCACAATGATCTTATCTGATCTCAACCAATAGGAGCCCAGTATGGGTGATTTCTCCTTTGTCATCTTTTGCATTTTAAATAAAAATAGGTACGGTCCCATTTGGAGGTTTTCCCGTTGGAGAAAAATCAAAGGCCATACCTTGTTTGCCTGGCCATTCTTTCCTTCTACGTTTTACTAATCGCCTTATCTTCAAAGATAGTAGCTTGGTAATGAAATGTTACCTCTTTCGTGTAAATTTACAGGGACAGATTGTTAAATGGAGAATACAATAGTGGATGCCATTGGAGAAGGGTAATCGAGTAGATATTATATGGCAATCAGTATGTTGGGGGCATTTAATATACAGTTGCAGCAGATTTTGACCCTGCAAAGGTTAGGGCCCTGTGAGCAATAGCAGGTTGTTTCTTGGAGCTCCAATGACAATATAACCGGTAGTTGATGAGTGGTTATTACCGATTCTTCCCCATCTTAATGAATTGGATAAGACCCTTAAATCAATGAGCTACCCTTATTATAGTTTGGTTAATGGGAATGAAAGGGTTTTATCGATCTCGAGCGGTTCACGCTTTAATGTGGATAAAGAGTCGTGACAGATGAAAGATCAACTGTTGACCAATATTTTTATGTTGCAGAGGTTTGATCATGAGAGTGAGAAAGGAGCAATGAAGGTATCCCCTCCTACAGTTTTGATTGTAGTATTTATAACAACCTTTAGTGCACATGTCAGTAGCATGAGTTTGATTATCATGATTATTAAATAAATTTAGTAGTCTGATTTTAGACTTCGTTCAGATGTATCCGCCAGTCCGTCTTTTCTAAATCTTGTTTATATATTACAGTTGAGTGATGGAATACTAGCGTAGATAGTGGCTTTCAAGTACTACAAGAAATTTTTACTATTGTGATAAATTTAATTTTATTAATTTTTTTTGTCATTATTAGTAATTTTTTATGACAAAATAAATCATTATCGCATTAAATTAAAAAAAGATATACAATTATGAATATTAGTAATTTTTTTATGACAAAATAAATAATCATCGCATTAAATTAAAAAATATATATACAATTATGACAAAAGTTAAAATCGTCATAATAATTTGTCACAATTAACAAACATGTATAACATATGAAAATTGTCTTCGATTTCTCTCTCTACTTGTCACGCATATGTAACCATTCTATGCCAACTTCAATAATATTGAAAGCAAAGATTTCCTTGTTCAATTCAGCTCGTAATAACATTTTTATGTAATTGACCAATTTGCAAAACACATTTTCAAATTCAATAAAGAAGTCCCACTGAAAAATAAATGACCACGTGTCTCTAATTTCTTCTAGCAAAGATTACATACTCTATCGATAGGCAAACTTAAAACAATGACCTAATTCTTTATTAACATAAAGAATATGTTCAAACAATTCAAATTCAACCGTATTGATTAAAATACAATTATGATGTTAAAGAGAAAATAAAATATAATAATTAAAAATATTGAACTGACATAATCGGACATATGAAATTCTAAGTCCCAAAGATACCTTTATATGACAATGAAATTTTTTTATTAAGTAGAGATATATTATATTTTTAAAATAAATGTTAAAATTTAAATTTATTCAAAATGAAACTATATAAATATATTCAATCACTCAACTGATTAATAGAAATCGACTCCTTCTTCTTATCGAAAATGAGATGGTAACTTATTGAATTAATTGAGGAAATTAAGATTTATCTGACATGGCATCATCAATGAACTCCTTTCTTCACATTAGATCCAGCGATCGTTACGAGAAGAGTTTGCATTTGGGAAGCACGAGAAAAACATTTTAAAAGCTAAGGGTAAACTATATCATCTATAAAATGGTCCTCTAACTATAGAGAACTGTTTTGTTGAGTTACCATCAATTATTCATATGTTCTAAACTCGTTATTTTTCATTAAAAAAAATGACAGTCACCTAAGTTGGACGTTAACATACTGATTGGGATACGCAAAAATCGATGTATGTTAGTACTGCTATTGTATTTAAGCATTGGTTCGACGACATAATGTTTCCAGCATTGGCTCAAGAACATGATGTAAATAGAGAGTCGATCAACAAAGTACAACTCAAACAGTTCTGAGATCAAATTTTATCATATCCAGTGATCAGATTAACGTCCAACTCAAACAATCATCGATTTTTTTAAAAAGGAAATGACGAGTTTGAAACATATAAATAGTCAGGTGACTATTTTATAATTTTTAATAGTCGGGGACTCAACAAAACATTGTCTTATTTGGGGATCATTTTATAACTTTTAATAATTAGGGGACTCAACAAAATATTACCTTATTTAGAGACTATTTTATAACTTTTAATAATCAGGAGACTCAATAAAGTATCGCCCTATAATCACAGATCATTTTTGTAATTTACTCTTAGTTACGAAACTTTTTAGAAGAGTTAGTTACACCATATTCCTAAATTATGGTGCTCATTTTAAACTAATCCTTCAATTTTTGGATATTTTAGTTTCATCTCTAAATTATGACTTTTCTTTTAAATTGGTCCTTAAACTTTGAATATTTTAATTTCATTCCTAAAATATGACTCCTTCTAAATTGATCCTTAAACTTTTGAACAATTTAATTTCATCCTTAAATTATGACCCTTATTTTAAATTGATTCACAAAATTTAAATGTTCTAATTTCATTCTCAAACTACGCCCCTAATAATAAAATTGTTAAAAGACTGATGAATGCCTATGCCATGTAAATGTATATTATGTAATAATATGTTACAGTGTAAACGATAATTAATATTGTATCACTTCCCTTGAAATCATTAATTTTTTTTGCTTGAAACAGTACCGATATTGTTAAAGGAAATTATACTATAGTGTAGCAAATTGTATACTTAAATCAATTCAAGAAAATGTATACTTAAATCATTATTATTTTTTTTGCCTGAAATAGTACTGATATTGTTAAGAGTATCTATACTGTATCACTTCTCTAAGATATTTAGTTGGATTTTTTTTCCGATTTTGAGTAAGTTTGTGAAATACTATTTCGATGAGAAGAAAGAGAAGGAAAATGTGAACATTTTGATATTGATTTTATCGCGAATGATGAGTGGTGATAGATGACAATTAAAGTCACCGATTGAAAAAGTTCAATGTCTAAAATTGATTTTTTTTTTAAATTTAGAAGTAAAATTGATATATTCAAAAAGTTCAATGACTAGAACAATGTCATTTTAGACATCAATAGACACGTTAAAATGGTGTCGTTTTGTTTACACCACCACAATGACTGAAACATCTGTTCACATTGCAACGTCGTTAAAATTTAAAGGTCAAGTGCTATAATTAAATCCAAAGTGTTATAATTGAAAAAATTAAAAGTTTAATAGTATAAATGATATATTGCCTAAAATTAGATGATATCTTGTGTAGTTTAACCTTTAATTTATTTATTTTTTTCGCTAAACATAGAGGGATGTTAAAAATATCTAAACCTGACCTTATAGAGACTTTATTTTATTTTGAAATTTTGGGCATGGGGGAGGCGGGTGAGTTATATGGTATAAAATTTTAGGACCTAATCCGGTTGAATTTAAGGTAAAGAATCACTGACCAGATGTGATTATTATTTTTATATATTATAGTTAATATTTTAAAAAATATTTTTATATTATAAAAAACATATTATTTAATTATTAAAAATATAAAATTATCATAAAATCTTTTAAAATATAATAAATAGTTATAGTTATATTATTATAAAATATTAATATATTCAGATAGGAACGGACCGAAGTTAGAATTTTAGTCATCAGGATGGATCCAAGACAAAAAAACTTAAAATTTATTGAGACGAGATGAAGTCGAGTTTTAAATATATATTTTCAGACAGGAGGTAAAAAACTGGCCCACACACTAAACATAGTTAAAAGAAACCAGATGTCACTCTCTAAAACCAATAATAATTTAAATTTCGTTAATCCAAACCATTGCTTCAACTAGGTGTCTTTCGTTAATCCGAGCCGTTGCTTTCTGGCGTAATCAAACGTGGGAGACACGTCTTCGTTGGATCCCTCGGTCTAGAAATTGTGTGGCGGACGCTTTCACCAATGGCTCCTCCAAGCTTATCGGAAATCATCTATTTTGATGCGCCTCCTATAGGCATCAGCGATCTGGTTGAGACTGACGCTTGCAGCCCTCAACTGCTGCCAACCTTGGTTGCTTAGTTCCCTGCGCTCCTTTTCACTACAAAAACAATAATAATTTAATACATTAACACAAACTAATATGATAAGATAGAGTTTAATTTAAACCAAAATATATTCATTAATTTACTGTATTGGGAGATAAGCACGAGCTTAGTTATTTTCCCATTTCAAAACCATGGTTGAGGGTCTTGTCATGTGGTAGTACGCCCACGGTTCCGTCTTCCCAAATCCGGAAACCAGTCACCGGTTTTAGCTTCCCCTTTCCAAAAGCGGTTTTTGAACTCACACCAACTTCCCGAAAACCAGGAGCTTTTTTTTTTTAATTCTAAAATTCACCCAAGAGGTTCACGTAGCCCATCATATCTCTCCCTCCGACATTTTTATGTATTCGACAGCACTCTGACACTGAACGTGCCTGCCACGCGCTGTCTCTTCCTTTCTCAACATTTGGAACCATTTGATTGGCTTCTTCTAACATCCTCAACCAGCTGTCGTTTTTTCTTTATCAAATCACTATTTTTCTGATTAACATGAGATAAATATAGGTTAATATGTGTTAAAAATAATTTATAATCATTTTAATATTAAACATATAGATTTTTTAAATTCTTAGTGTTTGGATTTAAAATCTCAAGAATAATATCACTAAGATTATTTGATTCATACATAAAATCTCTATTTTGTTCTTGTAAGTAGGGTAGTTTTTTTTATAAACGATTGTAGATTAGAGAAGCAATTAGTGGTAGTTTAGTAAAATAATGTTGACAGTTGATTTCCCCGAAGTGGTGTTACGTTTCTGCATATTTTTTTAGTTGTCGTACCCAGAAAGGGCCATGTACAAACCTTTAGTACGTATCCAAGTGTATCCTTGTCCCTCGATGAATTATATGAGAGAGACTACACGCGCGTTAACTGAAAGTGGTGAAATTTCAAAGGGTCTAGCGTGGCTCCTTGCGTGTTGAAACCAGGTGTTTGGAAATAAAAACAACTGCTGCATACCCTGAACTCTGAAAACCAAGCGGCGGCCGCCTACCTTTTTTTTATTTTTTCCTTCCCTTAAATTCTCTCTCACTTCTCTCTTTCGTTCAATCTTCCAAATTTCCTTCTCTCTTTTCCAATTCACCTGCTTTCAATCTGTTTTCTCGTAAACAAATCCAGACATCAATTACTCTGATTTGATATTAGTCTCAAATCTTTTCTCCTGCATTCTGCGTTTTTCGAACCATTTTCAAAATGCGATTGAGTTGCAATGGATGTCGGGTCCTGCGCAAAGGCTGCAGCGATAATTGTAGCATTAGGCCTTGTTTGCAATGGATCAAAAGCCCTGATTCCCAAGCAAACGCCACCTTCTTTCTCGCCAAATTCTACGGCCGTGCTGGCCTCTTGAATCTCATCAACGCCGGCCCCGAACACCTCCGTCCTGGTCAGTACTCTCAAATGTTTTCTGTTTAAGTATTTAGATTATGGAGTTTTAACATTTGTGGACTAACGGTTTTTTATTTTATTTTTAATTTCAGGGATTTTTAGGTCGTTATTATACGAGGCTTGTGGTCGGATTGTGAATCCCATTTATGGTTCGGTGGGATTAACGTGGTCCGGAAGTTGGCAGCTTTGTGAAGCCGCTGTGGAAGCCGTGCTAAAAGGTGCTCCGATCACGCCTATCGCCACGGAAGATGCGGCGGATGGTCGAGGGCCGCCTCTAAAAGCATTTGACATTCGTCATATTTCCAAAGAAGAGAACTCTGACGATGTTGATCGAGTAAAGAACCGGTGCCGAGTAAAGAGAACTGTGAAGCGGAAGGGGAATAATAAGAAGGTGGTAGAGGAGGAGAGCCGAAACGCGGAAGCCAAAACCGAGCCGCGTTATTTTAGTGACGAGGGGAACCGATCGACGAGTCACGAGTCTTCGCTGAGCCATCAGTCCGAGCTGGCAGTTATGGATGGGGAAAGTAAAGAAACCGAGAGCATGATCTCGGAGGAAACGACTCCGGCCTCGCAACTGTTTCCGGAGGAGCCGGATTTCGGAGGAAAGCTTTCCGAGGGGGAAAGCGGTGAGGTTGGGCTGGAGTTGACGTTGGGGGTTCGGTCGGCGATTTCACGTGCGTGTCACGTGGTGGTGCCGGTGAAAAAACGGAAATTGGAGGCATACGACACGAGTGAGAATGATCGCACGTGTATAGTACAGCTGGGGCTTGCTTATCCGGCTTAAAAGATATCCTCCCTACTTTTATGTAGAGTTTGGTCCAGTTTTAGCGGCTCGGTTTAGGCTTCTTTTTAATCTCATACATAGAAGAGTTCTTTTTTGCCCTTTTATAAATAAAAAATGTGAGATGTACAAATGTTAGGTTACATGAATACAAATTGTACATTTATTTATGGGCTTATTCAATATTTTTTTTATAAATTTTAAATCCTTATTAAAAAATTATAGAAAAATATTTTTTATTTAATATAAATATCTAATATTTTCAACGTCATTTTAGGTGACTTATTTATGTTATTATTTTAGGCGACTTATTTATGTCATTTTATGTTATTATTTTAGATGTTTGAATAATCGCAATCGTTAGAGGTACACAAAAAATTCGAATATTCGATTTTGTGTAAAAAAATATCCGAAACCGGATTTGAGAAAAACCAGTTTTTTTAAACCGGATCGGATATTTTAAAACCGGATAGTATAACCGGTTTGAGAAAAAATTGGACGACCGAATTTTTTATTGGATTAAAAATCGGTTTGAAAAAAACCGGATAAAAAACCAGTTTTTTATCCGGAAAAAAATCCGGTCTGGGGTTTAAAAAATTGGATGATCGGATTTTTAACCAGATTAAAAACCGATTTTTTTAAAAAACCGGTTTTTTTCAAACCGAAACCGGTTACACCGGTTACATCATCCGGCCCTCCAAACCGGTTATGATCCGAACCGGTTTTTTTATAAACCGATTTTTTAGTTTAGTGAAAAAATCGGATCGGTTTTTATCCGATCCGGATCGGATTTAAATCCGACTATGTGCATCTTTAGCCACCGTTAAAAAATCATCAATCACTTGTATTATGTTTATATATTTTTAAAAATTTATTTGAAAAATTTAAATTATAAAACCTTAAATTTCTCTAAAATTAAAAAAATAAACACTTTGAAACATTAAAATTCATATTATTCTTAATTTCAGTTTCTTTTATTATAATCGACTATTGTTTTTGTCGTTGAACTCAATTCCATCGTACTCTTAGCAGCTCCGATTATGTCGCCCGCATCCTGAATGGGTGAAGACAATGGCATTGTCCGTAGAAGCAAAAGGTTTTGATCGTTAAGGGTTCAACCGGTCGTGTTATGTTGGGATTTTGATTAACCGACGACGTTAACGACGATGGATCAATTTTGTATAGATAATACATCTATGATATGATCCAGAGAATAATGAGCATAAAGCATACATAGGTTGTTGGAAAGTAGAATTATGGTGAAATGGAATCTCAAACCTATAATTCTCCCAAACCTTCCCCACAAGCTTAAGAAGCTTGTCCATGTTGAAAACGTGAAGTATAATGAATATATTTTCATTTCTTTATTTTTCAATTACATTGCAACCATCTTATATAGAAGTTGTGCCTTCAAGTTTACTCAATCTCTATAACAATTTTCATAACAGAATCTAACATCCCTCAACAACCACACTCACTCATACAATAGGAACACATGCACATTATCCTGCATATTCTAGAACTCTGAGAATTCTGGAATACATATTCCAATATTCACCCCGCTTTATCATCTTCTACTTTTAATAAGATAGCACACATCTTCTCTCGAAATAGTTCAAATGCTCCTTTTGTAAGTGGCTTTGTAAGACCATCTGCTACTTGGTGAGATGCAGGCACATAATTGACTTGGAGCTGATTTGCTGCAACCTTTTCACACACAAAATCTACGTCCATATCAACATGTTTGGATCGTGAATGATATACATGATTGGTGCTTAAGGCCAGAGTACTAGTGTTATCACACCACACAACGGGCATGTTTCGATGTTTAACGCCAAGCTCACATAACAATGAAATCATCCACATTACTTCTGCAACAGCATCAGCTACACTTCGATACTCAGCTTCCATGGTGGATCTCGAAACAATTTTATGCTTCTTAGAACACCAAATCTGTAACATCCTCCATACCGGGTTAGTGATCAAATTGTGGAATTTTAAAATTTAGTAACCAAAGTAGATAAATTGAATAGTTGAAAGATTTAATGGGAATGTTTCATGTAGGATGGATAAGCAAAGAAGGGAAATTAAGAGGGCAAATGAGTCTTTTAGCAAGATAAATAATTAAATATTACTTAGGGTTATTTAATAAACCACGTGGAAGCTATTGGAGAGAACCAAAGTTTCCAGATTTCTCTTCTTCTTCATTCTTCTTCTTCCCCGTGAGACCAAGCTAAAGGTGAGTTTTCTTGTTAATCATCTTCTTGATGAATTTAAGGTTGCTTATTGATCATTAGATGATAACTAAGCTTAAAAAAAGCTTAGGTTATCTTAAAACCATAGGATGATGGGGTTAGGAAGGAATAAAGAAAGGAAGTAGAAAAGTAAAATCTTGGATTAGAGTTCATAATAAGAATTAGAAGTGAGATTTGACTTGTCATCAAGCTAATTAAAGGATATGAAGTGTCAGAATTCGATTTAGAACATGTTGGAAATTGAGTGAAATTATTAAATTTTATATGGAGAATTGGATTTCTAAGTTTTAAAGGTATCGAATGGATAATAATTAGTTTAATTAAGTATATACAAGTTAGGGATATAAAGAGATTTTGCTTAAAATGACATTTATGGGCTATGTGCATCGATGCACATTCAATATGCACCGATGCATCAAGGATAAATCCCAAAAATTGTTCAAGGTGTATCGATGCACATGAAGTGCATCGATGCACTCTTTTAAAATACAAACATCGAATGCCATCAATGCATCGATGCATAAGGAGTGCATCGATGCACCCCCTTAAATATAAACATCGAATAAGATTTATGCATCGATGCATGGTGTGGTGCATCGATGCATACATTCATTAAAAGATGAAAATGACTTTTCTTTTTGCCCAAGAAATGATAGTTTAGAATATATTAATTAGTATACTGATTAACATCAATGAATTACTCTGTAGATACTGAGCCTAAATAAGTTCCAGAACGAGGCAAGATCGATCGAGGAAAAAGCAAGAAAATATAGGTGAGTGCATATGCATAACATGAATAGAGTATTCTATTCAGTTCTAGACTTGGGATAAGTCTAGATTAAATATTTTGATATAGGATCGCATTTCATATTATGATACATGACATGAATTCATATTATATGCATTAAATGACATGAATATGCATGAAATGTTATATAAGCTATGTGATACAATGATGGAACATGATATGTTTATGTGATAAAGGTATGAAAATTATATGTCTATATAATATAAATTATGGGAATGGTGAAAGCCCATGTTATGTAGATGAGAACTATAGGTATAGTTGGCATGCCAAGAGTAGAGGGTCTACACGGTCCTTCGGGACATATATGTATTCTTTGGAACATGTGTGAGGTCTTTTAAGACATATAATTGATCCTTGGCATATGTATATGATTCTTAAGGAAATTTTCCACGTGGTCCTTAGGGACAAGCTTATATGGCACTACGGTGCAATTCTACGCGGCACTTCGGTGCAATTCTACATGGCACTTCGGTGCATTTATAAGAGCTGTGGTGGTGCACAACCTCACAGTACTCACATACCTTAGGTTCTCAGTATGGTATCATGGGCCAATAATCTTATTAATATGAATTCACGAATGTTAATATATTATTCTTATAGGTAAAGAACATGGTGATATAAACTGCATGGTTAAGCATTTGATTTCATCTCATTTCATTTATTTATGTCATTTCCATTACATTTCTTTGTTATCATTATTATTATATTGGCTCACTAATTCGATGACTTAGCGTGTGAGTGTTTCACACGTAGGATCCGAGGAAGTAGACGATCAAGGTTAAGCAGCTGGATAACATTACTCCTGCAACTATCAGATCAGAAGAAACTTAATAGTATGTCATTTTGTTATATAAATCAATGTTGGCATGTAATATAATGTTAAGTTGTGTATGCTCTGAGTATTTTGATGAACTTGTATTAATATATGTATATTATTGTATTTTAATAAAATAAGTTCGAATGTTTTATCGGTTTTTTTAAGAGTATGGTTTTGTTTAGTCAATGTGACATCCTGGACTCGTATTCGGGTCAGGTATGAGTTGAGGGTGTTACATTTAATGGTATCAGAGCTATGGTTTAGCCGATTCTAGGCATAAACCAGAGTCTATAGAGTCTTTAAATGGAATACATGCCAACAAATAGTGAGAACTTCTGATCTGGTATAGTATGAGTATGTTGTTTTGCTAATAGAACAATCTGTTTATTTTATTAGATGTCCAGACATAGTAGCTCCCGAAGTGAAGCAAGAGAAGATAGGCCTGCTAAAAGCAGTAATTCCCCTGCCCTGGCCAGGTAAGGTGAAGAACAGGCATCTCAGGGAGTTCCTGTACAAGATCAAGACACTTTCTTTAGGACGTTGGACGCTATTCTGATGCGTCTTCAACCTTCTGCACCACCAACTCGAGGAATGAATGTAGCAAAAGAGTTGAGAGGTTTAGGAGCTCCTGAATTTAAGGGAGAAGTCGAGGAAGGTCCGGTTGTGGTGGATCTTTGGCTAAATGATTTGAAAATCATGTTGGATGGTCTCCACTGCTCTGAAGTGGAGAAGTTAGATGGAGTTGTCTCTTTACTGAGGGGTCAGGCGAGGATATGGTGGACGAACGTCACCATGAGGATGTCAAGTAACCAATTGACTTGGTCTTTGTTCTTAGATGAATTTAAAAACAAGTATATTGGAGATCAATTTATTCGGTAGATGAAGCAGGAGTTTATGAACTTGAAACAGATGAACCACTTTGTATATGAGTATGAATGTGAGTTCAACAAGCTGAGTAGGTTTGCATCTGAGCTTGTGCCTACTGAAAAAGAGGCTTGTGAATAGTTTGTGGAGGGCTTACGCCCTAGATTGAAAGAGATACTGAGAGTATTGAATTTGTCCTCGTTCCAAGAGGTGATCAATAATGCCAAAGCTCTTGAAAGAGCTCAGAATGAGAGATTTTGGGACTCAAGAGTTCAGACATCAAAGAGGACGCGTGCTTTTTCTAGCTCAGCACCACCAAAAAAAGGAAGAGACTCAGGATTTCGATCACAAGCTAGATCAGAATCAGTTGTATCATCTTCTAGGGGAGCAAGTCATGTAAGACCTAGACAGACACAGTCAGTGGGA